TAACAGGTGTGGTCGTGATGCTGACTCCTTCCATATCGATGAAACATTTATTAATCTCCATTAAAATCGAATCTTTACTTTCGTTGATACTACAAAAGATTCATGTATTATGTTATATGTCACGTAGTATATTCATATACATAATTATCATTTTATTAAATTTGTAAGAGTATTATTTTATTAATTTGTGTTCTTATGTAAAGTCACTAATTGTCGTCTTAAATTTTTATGTATTGTATGATTTTTTCTGAGATTATTCATATACGCTTGCATTTGTCTAATCAATGAATTATACATTTGCTTCCGGCTCACGTCACCTTCCTTTCCTCCTTCCTCTTCGAAGAACCTTTCGCTTCTATCCAATATATTCACCACTTGGCTAATGCTAGGCCTTAACATCGGATCGGTTCTCGTGCAAACCTACCCTAACCGTAATAGCATTGCCAATTCTCGATTCTCGTACACATCCTCCAAATGAATATCTGCAATCTCCTCGAAGAGTTTTTTTCCGGTCACCAACTACTTCGCGGATTCTCAACAGTCAACACCAAAAGAGCATCTTCGTTTTTCCTCATGTAATCCACTAAGGGATGCCCCATAACCATCTCCAGCACCACCATGCCGAAGCTGTATACATCCGTCATGGTTGTACCTCGCCGGATTCCATGTATTCTGGTGCCATATAACCGAAGATCCCTTGAGCGGATCCTTCCTTTTTTGTAGCTTGAATGAGCCTTATCGTTTCTAGACAAAAACTCGGCCAATGCAAATCCACAGAGCCGCGGATTCATAACTTTATCTAAAAATATTGTTGAGGAAGTAAAGTAATGTTTCGGTGAATGACTTGTTCGTCCCATTCCTAGAAGGGTAACGTACAGAGCAAGCAAGCGATTTAATCTCGTTGTACCGACTTTTCCATCGCAAAACAGAGTTTCTCGAAATACGGTTATGGAAAAGAAGATGGCTTACCTTACGATTCGCGGAATAATCGTACGCTACAAGCATTTCTCCATGTTCAGTGCACCACCCACTGGGCATAACAAGGTTACGATGTCGAAGCCGGCCTAGCTAGGTTAAGTAATTCGGTGGAGAACCGGGTAACAAGCGTCGAAACATTTAGTCATACTGAGATGTTTCACCACAATCTGCTGGTCTCCGTTTAGTAAACCATAATAAGCCGTATCGAAATCAACCTCAGCAACCGGACGCGCATCGGAGAAATTATCAGTGGATAAAACGAGGTCGCTGTATGAAGTCTCCCTTAGCGTGTCCAATACGAAAGACTTTGATCACGTCACTCTCTAGCGGTTGTAATTAAAGTACTGATTTTCTCCAGTCTCCGCCGTCTGGTAAATGGAATCCTCAACGGTAGTAACGTAGTTTGACGACGGCGTCGACTCCAAAGACGCGTTGAAGCTAGTTGTGGAGGTGGTGGTCATCGTTTTTTTTAGTCGTAGTCGTCGTGGCCGAAGTTGAGGTTGATTTTAAAGTAGATAAAGGAATATAAAGAGGATGGCCCTTAAACAAAGGTAACGCCGGTAAGTTACATGAAAATTCGCTGGAAAGTGCTCCGATCACTCATTTCATGTTGGGACGATGTATTGGGTTGTTTAACGAATAAAGTAGAGCAAGATGAATCAATCTCTTCATATCGGAGTTATCATAAGATCCTTTTAGTAACCGAGAATCTCCGGCGTCAAGTAATTTCCGGTTATCAGATAATCTCCGAACCCAATCAAGCAAAATGATTTTATCTTCAGAGAAGAAAAGATCAACGGCATGTCTACCCGAAGCAATCTCAAAAACCACAACACCAAAGCTGAAAACATCTGTTTTAGGGTGGCAACTAGCAACGGTTTGTCTTTAGGAAACTCTCCGGCGGTAAGTAACCACTAGTCCCACCGATCCGAGTCGAATCCGCCATTGCACTAAATTTGATAACCAATATCAGATGAATTTTTTACGTATAGTTTTCTGTTAAATCACGTTTGTTTATTAAGATTCCCGTGATTCGTTTTATTTTTTACTATTATTCCCGCGAACTAATAGTTCTAGTATTACCAATCGATTAAATTCAACAACTTCAGAATATAGACTTTTTCACGGCAACTAAATACTTAATCCATATGGTGTACTACTTTCTTGTAACTAATGGAACATTTTAAAACGACGTAAAAGTACTGGAACATATTTAAGGTCAAGAAATTAGCAAAGGTTACCGTAAACTTTCTTGCGGCCGAGCTTGCCAGCGAGGGTCCGGTAGAAAGCCACACCATTAACAGCGGCAGCAGCATTTGGGAGCAGCGTTCCAGGCTTCTTGGAGCCAGCAACGTGGTAGTATATACACATAGTTGGTACTCATTGAGTATCATTAGCAATTTTTCTTATTAATTTTAATATTTGTTTATTGTTTGAGATTTTTATGATACTAGTAATAAATCTGTTTTCAGTAGTGAGAATGATATCGGTATCAACAGAGATCTCTTCTCTCCAACCGACAGATCCTTCTTCGACGGAGATCTACGGAAGATCGACGGAGACAGATGACGACGAGACACAGAGAGGTGAAGCATGTGCATGTGCTTCTTCGACAGAGATCTACAGAGAACCGCCGGCGATGAGAAAGGATGAGAAGAAGAATCGACGATTCGCCGTGAAGAGGAGAGAAGAGAAAAATAGGCGATTCGAGCAAATGATTTTTTGTTTTCTCTGTTTTTACCAAAACCGCGTTTCACGGTCCAATGGCTTTCTGCCACGTCACACGAAACTGAGTATCACATGTATCAGTTTATTGATACGGATCATGCCCAATTATGTGGTTTGGTCCATTATAAAATTGTTTTTGGGCTAATGATACTGAGAAAAAATCACCATTGTTTTGGGTCTAAAATCCTCTTTTGAAACATGAGGAATCAATCTAATTTAATTAAGCTTGGTTTTGGTTCTATTCTTAAACTAATCAATTCACTACAATTTTAACAAAAAAAATATTCAATTAATTCTTAAACCAAACTCTCAATTATTAAAGTTACTGTTTATAACATATAGTTTACTAAAAAATAAGAATGTATAGATATATGTACACATAACACATGCTGACATGCATGAGGTGAAAAAGATTAAACGAAAAGACGTCACCCAAAACCACAATTAGGAAACCGTAATGGACCTAGTCATTATAAATTTGAAAGAAAAAAAAGCACTTGCACTTGTATTTAAGTCTCGTCTTTTCAACCCTTTTTTACGTTTTTCCCACTCTGTTTGCAAAAATACAACCAATTGTACTATTTTATACGTACTTGTAATATATTGCTAAGTAGCAGAAAAGTAACGACAGAGGCATTGAACTAATTGTGTATTTCCACCCTACACAAAGAAAATAATATTGAGAGAGAATCAATAATATATATTTATCTTTTTAGAAATGAATAATATAAAATTGTATGGATGAGATTTCATGGAAAAAAAATTCTTCAGATTGTGGAGAAACATATCAGAATCTAAAGTTTGTAGATCGAGCTAGGAATAAAGAAATATGTGGGTAGCACAGCACTCATGCCACTTTTATGATTGACAAACCAATTTAAAGTGTTTTTTCACGGAAAATAAGAATGTCGCCTTATGTAATATTTGCGATAAATTATGATAAAGTAAAAACTGAATAAATTCAAAGGCAAAAACTAAATTAAAAAATGATTTTGTTAGCCATGTTTTTGAATATCAAAAGTCTAAACTACACAATTCCAAAATTCAAAATACAATAAATTTTTAGTAAGGGAAAAAGAAGTTTTTAGGAAAGCTTTCTACAAATTTAAGAAGTATTCCTGAATGTTTTCAATTTTTAGTAAAGGTGTTTTTATAAAATAATGGTGTTTCTTAGATAAAAACCTTGATATTTTTATTTTTATTTTTGAGAAATTTATATAGCATACTATGATCCCACCATTTCTACAAGTTTTTTTTTTTCAGCTCTTATAAAACAGTGGCGTATCAATTTTATTAGAAATCGGACCAAAAAATGGTTTCGAATTTTCAAATCGAGATTCTTAAACCCCTACAATATGTTCCAAAGCTTAAGATATTCGATAATCACCGAACTGTATTTTTAAATCAGCATTCCTAGTTTCTTGAGAATAAGAATAGTTTTGAGTACAAGATGGGGAGATATTCTCAAAATCTTCAGAGACAAGTTATTGGGAACTGAATGCCTTTTCCTAATGAGGTACGCTTTTCAGCTCGCTATTTACTCTATATGGAGGGAACGAAATAGCAGGAGGCATGGGGAATCACCATTACCGCCAGCGCAACTGCTTCGTAACCTCGACAAACAGGTTCGGAATAGGATTTCCTCGATACGGAAACAAGGAGATAGAATATATGATGAATGTATGGAAGCTTGGTTTGCTTCAAGATAAGGAGTAGTCTAATGAGTTGTATAAATTTTTTTAACCAATCGTTGCACTTGATGTAAATTTTACATATTATTCAAAAAAAAAAGAATAGTTTTAAGTCTAAGAGGATGATGTGAAAGTTTATGGGCAAATAGTTAAAGATGATGTATGTGGCTACGTGCATGTCTTGTCCCCAAGTATCGAATAAATTGTTAATTTCAAAATCATTCCTATAAGTACCAAAATGGAATAAGAAGGAGCTTGAGGAAGAGTTTGATGACAGCTCCTTTTTAACACAAACCAATATTCTTACACACACTACAAGAAAAATGGTTTTTCGTAGCATCTGAATAATGCTATCTAACTATTCCATAGCGTTTTGACAAATGCTATGTCTGTTCCCGTCATAATAGGTCCGCCGCTTTTGATAGCGGTTTTTAGCACTGCTATCGTATCTTAGTCAAATATAACGATTTTTTTTATGTCATTGTATATTTTACGATAGCAATTATATTTTGTTACAAATTGTTTTATTCATTTTATATATGTAACAATTCTTGTAATTGTTTTCTAGGTTTTAATTTTTTATTTTTTGGATAATTTGACAAATTAAAATAAAATGTCATATTTTATTACATTTATATGAAAATCATATACAAAAGACTTATATTACAAAGTAAAAGTACAAATTAAAGATAAATTTCATACTACTCTTGTTTTTAACTTCTCAATTCTTCACACCCTTAGACCGCTTGGACCTCAATCTTTGAAACGTCTTCTCCGATATCATCATCATTATTAGCTTCCTCCTTTGCCAAGAGCTAAACAACAAAACAAGACCAAAAAAGAAACGTGAAGACTCAAACTTTGTGTAAAAAGAATCTAGTAAGTGGTAATTTCGTAGAGAAAACAAAGTCCATATTCAGATCCAAAACACACAAACACGAATTGCTTTTAAATCATAGCTTTGTCGTCATGAGTAGAATAAATGGATCTATTGAGTGAAAAAAAATCACATCAGCTCAATTCAATTAATCAACATAACTCATAACAAACTGAAAAAAATTAAACCTTGAGGAACGAGTATGAGGAAGAAACCTAATCAATTCTCTAGTAGAGATAATTCTCCAAAACTGAGACTAACAACCACCGCCATCTCTAGCGCCCAAAATTGAATCTGCATAAACCATATGATGAGAAGTAGGAGCGACCTTAAGAACTCTCATCTGAAAACAACCAGATCTGAGAGTGAGAGGAAGATCGAATGAAGATAAGAATAGAGAGAGAGACGACAAGAGTGACTCAAAGGAGAAACTTACATTTAAAAAAACAAAATCAAGATACCAAGACTTGAAAGCACTTGCTGGCGCTGCTTCGAAGAGAGATGAAAGTGGATATGAGGAAGAAGAGGCTCCGAACAGAGATGATGGTGTAACAGTCGATTGAAGCGCAGGTTAAGAGGCCGGTGAAGTTGCGGACGAAGCAGGATCCGAAATGGTGGATCCTAAACAGCCAAATCTGGAACTAGGGTTTGAGGATTTGGTGAAAGAAAAAGATTGGGAAGTGGTAGATGAAGCGGAAAAGGAACCGGCGATGGGTAAATGATGTGGAAGTGCAAACGAGAAATTGATTCACTCAATTGATTTTCGCTCAAGTAGAAGATAATCGATGTTTTCATATGCTCTCTATCTTGTTTCTCTCCATTTCACCTAGTTAAGGAGCAGCCACCGAAATGTCTTTTAGTTCACAGATAAAAATAAGTCAAAAATTTTTGTACCAAAAAACATTGGCGGCCATGAAAAATAGAGGCGGGCACTAAATAATTATTAGGGTTAACTCCTCTATGGTAACGTTTTAAAAATTGTATGTGCTATTACAGAGAATGTTAAAAACACTAGATTTTAACCCGCGGTACACCGCGGGGCTATATTTTCTTAAAAAAAATCAAAATGTAATTTGTTTGATAGATTATTTTGATTGTTAATTTTAGGATTTCACCCGTGGTATACGATCTTTTATAAATATCAATTCAAACCCGTCCCATCATATTACCCGTCCCGTGAAATTAAACATTATTTAGTTATTTTTCTTTTTAATAATACTTTTATTTAAGAGCTATATAATTCAAGTGAATTTAAAAATTTCTTTTAAATGGTTCCCATAAGATATATATACATATATATTAAATTTGTATAGAGTTGAAATAATATTAATATTACAAATTTTTTATATAATTTAAATATTATAAATATTTTTAAAAATATGTAATATATATTTTTTGTTATTGAATAAGAGGATATTATGTGTAAGAAATGTAGAAAATAAGAGTTTAATATTTTTATTATGGAGTCGCAAAAAAAATCTTTTATTTCTATACATGTTATTCATTTATTAATAATAAAAGAAAACAAATCCTTTAAATTAGATATTAACTAAAATAAACGCACCATAATTACTTATTAAGTAACAACCAATAAATTTCACCAAAAAATAGGTAACAACCAATAAATTCTAAACGCAGTAATTAAAGAATGAGATATTAAAAAAAAAATATCAAATAAGATATAAGAATCTTAAAATAATTGAACATCTAAATAATTTAATTGTTAGTGTCGATTTTAATGCCTTCATTAATGTGGATTTTTTTTTTTACAGAGAAATATTTCCTAAAGATTATCACATTAATGACTCAGAAAATTAAGGAAGATATGAATTTATGATTCTCGAAATCGTATTGGTAATATCTTTAATTAATATTTTTCAAATTTAAATAATTAATGCCAATGGCATTCATCCGTAAATAAGGTCCAACTCCAGGATTTTTTGCTAAAAGTCATTCAAAAATGTATATATAGATAAAATAAGCGGAAGCCCAATATTTTTACGAGCCCAATATATTATAGCGTTTGTCTATTTAAAAACGCTATAGAAAAATTAGGAATAAGTCAACAATAGCAAAACACACAGAAACGCTATTCTATAATGCTATTAAAACTCAATATTCTTGTAGTGACACCAAACAACATTACATATTTACAATGACATGCATGGTCTTTTTCAATTTTTTTTTCTCGTTTTATTCTAATTTCGTTCTGTAAATTTGTATGTAAATGTAAATTAAAGACTTAAGTAAAGATATAAGAACATCTCCATCAGTTACTTAAGAAATAAGAAAAATTAGTTCTTATACGAAAACCCATAAGATATTCTCTTGCAATGTGACATCTTTTAAATGGTTTACTTTTATTTTTATTTTTAAAATTAAAATTTAATTATTTATTTAACTTAAATTAAAAGAATAATACTCCCTCCGTTTTCGAATAGTTGTCGTTTTAACTATATGCACACAAATTAAGAAACTATTAATGTTGTTAGTTTTTAATATAAAAATATCATTAATTATCTACCTAAACATAATTTAACCAATAGTAAATCAAGTTGCATAATAAAAATAAATATAAAAAATAAAAAAGTAATAAAGTTTGCATCGAAAACTGAAAACGACAACTAATTAAAAACAAAAAAATTTCTCTAAAACGACAACTATTCGAAAACGGAGAGAGTATTATTTAGAGACTCATGCAGTCGATTGAGATGCTCTAAGTAATCCACAAATAGGAAGATAACAGGAATAAGCTATAAGCAAGATAACATTGCCTCCAACCAAAAAAAATGGAAAGATAAGTAAATAATATCAAACAGCCCATTTACATCAATAGGTATATATGTACTAACAAACAAAAATCAATATGTATATATGTAAAGTTTTTTTAATCAGGGGTATAAATTTCTTTGTGATGAAATATAATAACTTATAGCATAAAGATTATTTAGGTATTGGATCCTTGAAGTGGATGGTGCATATTATTTAAATAAAATCACTTATAACTAATTGGTTATTTATAGCATTGACAAAAAATAAACTAAAATAAATTTATGATAAAAATCAACTACCTATACGGCTACCATTTTTATATTAGAAAATCGATCCGCCGCAGATTGTTATCCACCCAAAAAATAAAATGAACTTGTTTATTGCAACTACCTTTATTTTTATATAGTGGAGAATATTTAACAACTAACTGGAACTTTAAAAACACAAAGCGAAACTAAATTGGGATAAGCTTTATATTCTTGAATAGAAAAAAAAAATATCAACGGCTAGAACTAAAGAAGGATTGCAAATTGAATCATATTCCATTGCAATTACTTATTTATATAACCAACACGTTAACTCCTCCGACTAAACGCTATATAAAGCTCCTCCATGTCTCTCTTCTATGCATATCAGTACCACTAGCAAATAAATGAATATCATTTCTCCATACAGACACATTCGGAAGACAATGGGTTCCAATGTTTCATCTGTGCATGATGTTCATTCATCAATGGAAACCAACAATGGATTGGTTGTGGAAATCGAATCAAGAAGACAATGGAAATCTCTCTTTGATTCCATGAAAGGCTCAAACAAATTGGTATACATTACTCGAAAACTACATATAATGTATTTCAATTATCTAACCAAACTAATGTTTGTAGTAAATCTTATACTATTTGTGTTTCCTAATCTTGTTTACATGTAAATGAAATAGTTTTGCTCTTAAGCTAACTGGAAAAATTTCTTGTGGTTTTGAAGCTAGTAATTGATTTTACAGCTGCATGGTGTGGGCCTTGTAAAGCAATGGAACCTAGAGTTAAGGAGATTGCTTCAAAGTACCCAGAAGCTGTGTTTTCTAGGGTTGATGTGGATAGGCTAATGGTAGTTGCTCTCTTTCTATTACTTGAAGAAGAATTATCAATGGTTTGATTGTAACCGAAACCATGAACGTTAAGTTTCAAGACTAAGCTATTTGGTATGTATTCCAGGATGTGGCTGGGACATATAGAGCTATTACACTTCCAGCTTTTGTTTTTGTGAAGAGAGGAGAAGAGATTGATAGGGTTGTTGGAGCCAAACCTGATGAGCTCGTGAAGAAGGTTGAAAAACATAGGGTTTAAGATTTGTTTTTCCCCTTACAAAACAAAAGATTATACTTTTGAATGTGTGTTGTGAATTGATTGTTTGAAGTTGAGTTTTTGGTTTGTTGTTTTCTGAAAAAAATATAACAATGGTAAGGTGAATATGGCAACTAAAAGAACTATACCATAAAAAAAAAAGAGTCCCATTCTAAGTATATGTTAAAGTACTAAATGAAAAAACAAAAGGATACAGAACATATTCGAATAGCTTGTAAAAAGTTCAAAGTTACATATATAACTTATGAAAACAGAATCCGAATAAATTAGATTACAACAAGGAGAGCTTAGACAACCAAAAACACTCAATCCTCTTTACTATTTCGCCATCAAGAGAGGAGATCAAAATCGAAAACCGATCAATTCTGTATATGTATGTACACTGAATTGACTTTTAAATTCAAGAAGCGCCAATTCCGCTACCACCAAGAACTCTCTTGAGATCTGTCTTCTGTTCTGATGTTAGCCTCGAGGGGAAACAAATCTCAAAGTTGATTCTTAGATCTCCTCTCTTTGAAACTTCTTTAGAAACGGGCATTCCTTCATTAGGAATTACTATCTCCTGCCCCGGTTTAACAATATCCAATACCGGGATAGTCAGATTCCTCCCGTCTAAAGTTGTTAAGCTAAGAGTGATCCCTGTTAAAGCCTCCAACAGTGAAACTTTCTTGTCTACAATCAGATCGTTACCGTCTCTATTGTAAACCGAATGCGGTTTCTCATCGATAACAAAGATGAGATCAGCTGGAGTAACACCTGGTTCTTGGTTTCCTTTCTCTGGAAAAGTTATCTTTGTTCCTTTCTTCCATCCTGGTGTTATGTCTATCTTCAAGATCTCTTCCACTGGTTTTGTCTTTCTGCAATCAGAACATGATTAGAGATTGCCCAAAACACAATAATTTGGATTAATATTTCACCTTAATTCTCAATTTTATCTTCAAGATCAGTCACAAACAGAGCAACAAGAATATCAACCTTAAATAGAGAAAAACACAATTGAACAAAGAAAAATGTCAAAAAAACACAACAATTTGGATCAATGTTTCGTCTTGATTACCGAATTTTACCATCAAGATTGATCACAAAAACAGAGCAACAAGAAACGTATACAGAGGATCATCCATTGAATAACAAAAGAAACCACAAAATAATTGGATCAACGTTTCAACACTTTTCCAAATTTCATTTACCAAATCAAGAACTACTAATATAACGAATGAAACTGAATCGAAAATGGCGATTTCATCGAGATCATAAGTAATGAAATACTAACCCAAGACCATCAGGAACAACGCGGGAAATCTTCATCTTCCTCCTCCCACCTTTATACAATTCCTCAAGCGTACAAGCCAATTTACTTTCAATCGCTGGAGCTTTCCTATTCACCGGAGTTTTCCTATTCGTCTGACTTCCCGCCTCCGCACTTTTAAATCTCCCGCCACCGCCGCCACCACCACCAAAGACTTTCTCAGATGCACCGAAAAACTCAGCAAAAATATCTTCAGCATCACGTGGATAATACCTAAATCCCGCATTGTTATTGTTGTTACCAGAAGAGTGATTCTGTTGTTGAGACGACGCCGTTTCTGTCGCCGTAAGTCCGTCTTCACCGTATTGATCATAGATCTGACGTTTATTAGGATCGCTTAAAACATCGTAAGCTTCGGAGATTTGTTTGAACTTAGCTTCAGCTTCTTTCTTGTTTGAAGCTGGGTTTTTGTCAGGGTGCCATTTCATCGCAAGTCTTCGATACGATTTCTTTAGATCGTCTTCGGTTGCGGTTGGATTCACGTTGAGTACATTGTAGTAATCAACCCCCATTGACAAGAACAGTTCGAAATCGCCACGAAACTTTAGAGGACGAGTTGAGAAAGACAAAGACAGAGTAATGAGAAGAATCAAAAATGAAGAGAAAGCGTGAGGAAGGAGATAATGAAGAAGAGAGTAGTGGAGTCCGTGTATGTAAAGTAAGGTAGAAGAAGAACATGACAAGCATAATCTTTTAATACTTTAATTGGAACCTTTCTTCTATTTTATTGTCGTTATTGTATTTGTAATCTTTTATAATATCAATACAGATACCTTTACGGGGGATAAGAAAGTTGTTTGTGCTAATGGGCACAATTTTAATTTATTCATTACTAACTATTAATTATGAGAGATTATCTAAGAATTAAGCTATGGTTTGTTTCAAGTAATTCTAACAAATATTAAGAATTTAATCAATTCACAAAGCACCATAACATCAATTGTTGGTTGGTTAAGGAAATTTTGCACATCTAATAATAAATCCATCGATTTAGCACCATTTCTAGTATTCTAAGAGAAAAACGACCTTAGAATACTAGACAATCGAACAAAAAGGTATGCCTCTGCGATTATAGGTTACATAGTATTTATATAAGATCAGTCGGAGCTCTCCAAACCCTACCTTTTTTTATTTAATTTCTTTTTCAGAGAACAAAAGAAAAGCAACCTTAATAGAGTTCTAGTAGACTTTGGACGAGTAGATATATTCTGATCTTTCAACAAAAAGATATCCAATAGAAACAAAGCCTTAACATGCTTGGTAAGGATACAGAAGAGTGATTAGATATTTTATGTACTAAAATAATTTGCAAGGGGCTCATAATAGAGGTCTCCCAAGTAGAAAATCAGGTCAACATTAGATTACATCTGAGAAAGTATTAATCAAGGGCAATTATGATGAAATTTTAATTAACATGAACTTACCTTCAAGAGCATGATGGATAATGCGTGATGATCACGGAATTTATCTGGTAAAGCAATAGATTCATAACAGGTTATGCATAAGAAAGTGAACTTCATGCTTAGTTTTTGCTTTGTAAAGCTATTGGTGTAAAGGGTATACAAAATTTTATTCAAAAGTGGATAACCAAGAAGTTGCAACATTGATCAACGGTAGGATAACTAATTTTGGCGTACATAACTAGATTTGCAAAATTAGGCATTGGAGAAAAAAATTTGAGACAACTCAAATTAGATGGGTAAGAAGAGAAACTACCAAACCCGCTGATCTTTTAGTAAAACAGAGAACACCTCAAAAACTTATTTCCTTTTTTATTATTTCGTTCTAAATTTCCTATTTCAAATGTTACATTGTGATTACATTTGTTACAAAATTTAATAATAGAAGATGATAAAAATAAAGAAGATAGTTTGTAAGATATTGAGAAATGCCTTTTTGGTGTGTCTCTTTCCAAAAATGCCCTATTAACTCTGAAAAGTTTATAAAGTTTTAATGTTTTACAAGATAACATGTGTCATATTTGACAATGCTATAGACCTATAGTGCAAATTAAAATCTTGGACTAGTTAATTATTTTTCTTCTCACATTTAAACTTTGGTGCACATTAAAATCTTAGAGATTACAAGATAACATGTCAATATTGAATAAATTTCATATATCAATTAAAAAAAATTCTTTCAATATACCATATATTACTATTTAATTTGGCTATATATCTTACTGTTTTAAGAAAATGTTATTATTTGCTCTTTGTGTGTTTGGAAACTAACCTTTAAGAAAATGTTTTTATTAGTTATTCTAGTTTTCTTCTTTTTTCTTGAAGCATGTTATAATTCTTAAAAAAACTTTTACAGATGTCGGAAGCTAATTAATATTACTATTTGTCATATTGTTGTAACTACATAAACATATCAAAATGTATATTTTAATAATCCAATATAAATAGATGTTCTAAGCAGCCATTAAGTTGCAAACTTGCAATCAGACCTTTTTTTTACCATCTCAACTGAAATTCTAAACTTTTTAACTTTTCAAAAAATGGTCAGTTGATTTTTAAGAAGCCTGTTATATATGTGTGTGTGCTTACGCGTACATAAGCATGTCTTGCTTATATCATGAATTCATAAAACCTTTAACTTAATTTCTTTTTTTTTTTCAGGGAAATTATACATTCATATTAGGAGATACTGATCAAAATTTAAAGCAAAAAGCTCTAACATGTATTTATAGTTTTGATGGTATGTTAACACAATCTAATGGTTATGTATTTATATATGTATTACATATAAAACATTGCAATTGGGCTTTCAAAATTTAAATTATGTTTATGAAAGTATTTTTTTTTTTTGTTAGGAGTTATATCCGTAAGCTATTATGCACAAATGAACGCGTTTTGCGTGTTTGGAGAAGGAATTAAGGAGACCGAAATTCAAAGGAAGATAGATGAGATTTATAACCCAAAACCAAAGAGGTTCATATTGTGTTGTATTCCCAAATAATGATATGGTGTTTTTTTTTTTTAATTTCTTCTTATCTGTAAAAGTATTTGGATTATGACTAATAATTTTTTTTTTTTTGAATAAAATGTAAAATTTATTCGAAAAAAACGTTTTTACATCAAGTGCATCGTTTGGTTAATAAGTGATCAAATAAAATTACAAATTATTCCCTTGTAGTGTTTATCTCGAAGCGAACCAAGCTTCCATGCATCCATCGTACCTCCTATCTCCTTGTTTTCGAATCGAGGAGATCCTGTTCCGAACTTGTTTGTCAAAAGTTTGAAGCAGCTGCAGTGGTGGTATCGGTGTTTCTCCATGCCTCCGACTGTTCCTTTCTCTCCATAATAATTGTATGGTGCTTAACTATGCATTCGTATGTTATAAAAGTGTTTGGAATTTTCTTTGATTGTTTATTAAACCCAAGTTCTATATTTCTACTCGTATAATGTATTATCGAAAAGAAATCTAGTAGATGCATTTTTTATCACAAAAATGGTTTGAAAAATAATCGTAGTTTGTTGTAATATGTATCTCTCATTGATTTCTACCATACTATTGAAATAATAAATTTATAAATGAAGAAAATTTTGTTTATCTATGAATTATCTCAAATTTTCTCATATGAGTGCAAATAGAAACAAAACCATCAAGTCTAAGAAGTTCTATACAAACATTTTCCTTACAACTATCTCTAACACCAAGAGAACGACTGATATTGTCATGACCTATGATCCAATAAAGGTTTATAAGAGAATTTACGAGACTGTTGATGTAGTAGATGTCAAATTCGTTGGATTGAAGAAGAAATTGGGTAAGTGGAATGCTCGACTTTGAAGATGTTGGACTCAAATTACCCAATTTCTCCTTCAATCCCAACTTCGAGTCCCCAATTTTGCAAAAAGTTTAAAACATTAACAAGACATAGCAAAACGACGTTGTTTAGAGACTCGTCATCATATACGTGTACGATGACTCAGCATCGTAACGGTGTTGACTAACACCCGTTAGATTGATTCCGATATTTGCACATTTAATAAAGATTAGGTATAAGATTCAAATTATTTTGAAGTTTGGGTTGTAAATTATTCTACGAAATTGTCTAGGTATGAAAATACACTTTGTAAAAAGTACGGATATGAAAATCCACTTTTCCCTTAGATTTTATACGCGCTATCACAAAATTTATGACCGTTGTGGGATTGTGAAAAATCATCACCTTATTGATTCTTTCTATATATTACAAAACCAATGCCCTCTCTTTTGCACTTTTCATCAACTACATTACGATTTACGATTGAAACTTTTATACTTTTTATTTCTCTCTTACGATCATTCGAGTTTTTCGTCTTTTCTCTCTTTCAAGATGGCTCCTCGTGAAAAAAAACCAAACAAGTCCTGTTCCGATGATGATGATTTGCAGAGGAAGAAAGAGACACTTTTCAAACAGAGATTTCCTTGTTTTAAGAAGAAAGCCACTAAGCTCTCTGTTCACTGCGGTAACTCTGTTGCTTTCATCTGCTACGGTCCGGACGACGATCTCCATGTCTGGCCTCAGCCTCAAGATCATAACCCACAAACCCTACCTGAGATTGTGGCCAAGTTCAATGCGTTGATTGATTACAAGAGGAAGCATCACGCCTGCGATCTCTACGAGTTCCCAAATCTCAAGGGTGTGTCCGGTGACGAGTTGAGAAACCATCTCGTTAACCTTGACTCACACTTAGTTGGAGTCAAGAAACAAAAGATAAGTATACTGAAACGCAGTATCCTTAAGAAGCCCAAGCCAAAAGAAACGGAAGAGAATGATCATCTTAGGGTTTCAGACAACAGCGCCATCATCTCAAACCGCAAAGGTAGTTTCGTCCGAAGGTCAAAGACTAGGGTTTGGTGGTGTCTTTGACGAGTTGGGTTATGCCTTCCGTGGCTCCCACGAAAGTGTTCCAATTTGGAATCTTCTGCTACTTCCAAGGTTTCTAAGGATGTTGTTATTCCGGATTCTTCTCGCCTTGATCCTTTCACGTTAGGTTTTTCCGGCAGCGAATACTTCCCCGCGGATCCAATGGAGATCACAGATAATTGGGGGGTCTGCGCCAACAGTGGTGTTTGGGATCCTTCTTGGCTAGATTTTGATTGTTCCTCAACACTATTTACTGATGATTGGACTGTTTCTGGCTACACTCCACTTTTGCGAGCCACTGATTCTTTTACCGCGAGCATTTACAAACGCCGGTCAAAGGATAGTTTAGGGTCCGTCTTTTAGATTATGATAGTAACTTGTAAGGTCATGATAAGTATTAACTATCTATTCTCGGTGAGGTGACTGATCGATTATTGTAGTATCTTAACTTGTATGTCTTACTCCAACATGACAGCACATCTAAACTAAAATATTGTATAATTTCAATTAAAATTTTTATGTTTTAAATACAAATTAAAATCTCGGAGCTTACAAGATAACACGTCTCACAGTGCTATGCTAAAATTTCATAAATTTATACAACTTTTGATTTCTTTCTATATGCCATACTTACTTTTAGTTTTTTTTTTTCTTATATTTGATCAAAGAAAACTTCTTATATATTTTTCTATCAATAAGATTGTATTTTTCTTTTTGCCATTTAAAGGTTAATTTAGCACAAAAATATATTCTTACAATTATTATTTATTTTGCTCATTATGTTATTGTTAAATATAAATTTCTCAAAACCTTTCAGATATATAAACTATATATATATTTTTCTGTTTTGGTCAAGCATACTTCTATTTCTGTAGGATACAAATACATAAATAAGCAAGACATAAATTAACACCATATTATTATTTGTTTTGAATAAATTAACACCATATCATTATTTGGGACTAAAACATAATAAGAACCCCTTTTTGGTTTAAAAATCTTATCTATCTTCTTTTGTATTTTAACCTCATCAATATTGATTAATTTATGTCTTGCTTATTTATGTATTTGTATCCTATAGAAATAGAAGTATGCTTGACCAAAACAGAAAAAAAAATATATAGTTTATAGAAGTGTTTGGATTTTTCTTTTAACATACAATATATTCTTACAATTATTATTTATTTTGCTCATTATGTTATTATCTATTACAATTTTCCTTTTGTTTTTCTTAAGATATGTTATAATTTTTTACACTTGTTTGACATATATCAGAACCTAAATTATAATATTACTATGTGTCATATTGCTGTAAGACTACATAAATGTTTCAAAATTGTGCATTTTGATGATCAAATATAAAAAAAGATGTTATAAGCAGGCTACTAAGTTGAAAACTCGCAATCACATTGCTTTGATCATCATCTCTACTGAAATTCTGAACTTTTTTTCAATAAATGGTTCGTTAATTTTTATAAAAGCTCGTTAATTAAAAAGGAAAATTATACATGTAGTTTTACATATTTAGCACCTGGGATTGCTTATAAAATGAATTCACTAAGATTTTAATACAATTTCTTTTTTTCTAGGAAGAATATACATTCAAGTTTGGATCTACTAATGAAAAAGCTAGGGAAAAAATGTTAGACTATATCTATAGTCGTAAAGGTACACAAACACAATCGAATAGTTTTGTGAGCCAAAATAAACCATTTTTGACATAGAAAACATTTCAATAACACTAATTAAAATATTAAAAAATCTATATAAATGTATGTTTCTTTTTTTGTTAGGAGTTAGTTCTGTAACATATAATATACAAAGCGACTTGCTAACCGTGAAGGGAGAAGGAATTGATGAGGTTAAAATACAAAAGAAGATAGATAAGATTTTTAAACCGAAAAAGGGGTTCTTATTGTGTTTGTCCCAAATAAGGATATGGTGTTAATTTATTCAAAACAAATAATGATATGGTGTTAATTTATATCTTGTTTATTTATGTATTTGTATATCCTATAGAAATAGAAGTATGGTTGACCAAAATAGAAAAAAAAAATAAATAAATATATATATATATATATATATATATATATATATATATATATATATATATATATAGTTATAGAAGTGTTTGGATTTTTCTTTGAATCTTGATTAAATTTGTTATATTGGTTTACTTGTATAATTGTGTATCAAAAAAAAAACTAGTACATGCAGTTTTTTGTTGTTATGAGACTGGCGAGGGAAAATAGTATTTCTGCGTAAATACCAAAAGATATGATTCGTTACACTCATTAATATCTAGTTTTCTATCACACTACTAAAGTAATATTATATTTTGGAGTCAACATTTTTGTGTATGAATTATATCATAATGTTCTCATATGAATGGATGGAAAATGTCCTTACAACTTTAAAATAATAAAATGTATCATGAGCAAAGAGATTAAGAATTGTTTTTTTGACAATGTATATGGAGGATAAAAAACTTGGAGACCAAGAAGTGTATAACATTTTTATGGATCTAATAATTAAACAGCTGGAGACCAAGTAATGTATATTCTGTTTTTATGAAAATTTAGAATACATATTCGATACTACATAACAAAGCTTGGAATGTCTTGAGTGGTTTTTGGAGGTTGCGACGGATTTCCTCCAATATAAGCCTCAGCCAGTCAAGGTTTTTCCAGTCGGATAGGGTTCATAATACTGTTCTACGTTTTTTTTAGTAATTCCAATATATATATATTAATAATTAATAGAGATGAGTAAGGTCTGGACAATTTCTGAAAACTGGATCAGTGTTTTTTTAGGACAGATAGTATTACAAGCTGTCTATCCACGAATTAGACGCCATCTACGGGTTCCCGCCTCGCACCGAGACACAATATGGGACCCTCTCAATATTGATCAAGAAGAATGAAATGGGTTTCTTGTTACGCAAGTAACTAGTTTAAATAAGAGAAAGAGTGGCAACGGTCATATTGGACCGTACGGACGCGGGAAGGAAGCCATCCTTATCCGGATGGGGGCTAAGCGCGTGTACGGCTTGTCGTGTTGCTTATGACCGTTGTCATGAGCTGTAAAGTGGCAAAAGCACACGGTGACTCACTAGGCTAAATGAGGATGCTTTTAAGGTTATGTGCATACCCATCTAGACCTAGTAAGCTCCCTATATAAACCGTGTGCAGCCACAAATCATTTGTAACTTTTATCACATTACAATCAATCATCTTTCTCTCTATTATTCACCATGTTCATCTCTATCCTTCCTACTTGATTCTAAATATTTTCATGGTATCAGAGCGTTCGGTTCTTAAATCTTTTATCTCTTAATCTTAGCTTTTCGATTTTTCTTCTTTGAGTTCTATTCTTTGGTGTGCGAGATCGGGTGTCATCTTATTTCCGGGTTTTGCTTAGCTTTTTCTTGGGGTAGAGTCTCTTAAAATCTTTGGTGAGGATTCCATTCACAAGAGTTAGGATATCTTTGAAGCGATTTAAAGGTTTTCTAAGTAGTTCAGGTTGGGTTCATAACTAAAGGTTGAAGCTTTATCACTAAAGGTTGAAGCTTTATCTCGGGTTTGAGTTTTGAACGGTTCAAAATCGAGTCTTTACTCTTGCAAGATGGCGCTTGTGGTTCAAGAAGTGAGCAAGGCTTACAAAAATCTGAAATTTCCGGTTGCTTTGAATGGAAACAACTATCTCTTATGGAAGAGAACAACGACGAATGTACTGGGTGGGAGAAGGCTCACAAAATACATTGAGTCTACCTATGAAGAAGCGAAAGCTTTGGAAGAAAGCTTGGTCAAAGAGACTTGGACGCAAGAAGACTTGACGGTTCTGAGTGCTCTCCATTGCTCTCTTGAGGCTTCACTCTCGGAAGGGTATTCTTATTGCGAGACATCTAAAGAACTATGGGATACACTTGCCAATGTATTCGGTAACGAGTCAAACTTGACAAGGGTATATGAGCTCAAGAAGACTCTCGGAAGCCTAAGTCAAGAAGACAATGATTTCAATACTCATTTTGGGAAGTATAGGTCTCTAGTTGCTGAACTAGAGATGCTAAGGCCATTCACCACCGAAGCCACAACACTTAAAGATCGCCGAGAGCAAGATCGTGTCTTCGGGTTGTTGATGACGCTTAATCCTACTTACACAGATGTGATTCAACACATTCTAAGGGATGACAAGATTCCTACCTTGGAGCAAGTGTGTGCAAAGATACAAAAAGAGTTTGGGTCACAAGGGTTATTCGGCACTAAAGGCGAAAATCAACCTACGGCAAACAAGGCGGGGTTCGTGAAACATAAGGACAAGAAGGCTTTGGTTTGTGATCACTGTAACAAGAAGGGTCATACCAAAGAAGATTGCTGGATTCTACACCCCCATTTGAAGCCGGAGAAGTTCAAGAATCTTAAGCCGAAGGCGAATGTGGCCAATGTGAGTGACGGTGGACAAGAGAATGAAGAGAGGGCTATTGTTCAGTATGGACAACAAGAGAAGGCGTTGCAAGCCACGATTCAAGATAAGGGCTGTGGATCATCTTCTCAAACTCAAGAAACCATTGTGATGAACAAGGCGGACCTCGAATCTCTCATTCACTCAATCGCATCAAAATTTAGTATTGGCGGTATTTCTCTCTTCACTTCTAATTCTCATGATCCAAAGTCATTAGTATTAGACTCAGGAGCTTCTCACCATATGATAAGTAATCCTAAGTTGTTAGAGAACATTAAATCGGCTTTAGGAAGTGTTAAAGTTGCGAATGGACATAATGTGCCGATTGAAGGAATAGGTAGTATAAACCTATTTAGTAAACGTTCTAGTGCTTTCTATATGCCTAAGTTTAATTCGAATTTACTCTCAGTTAAGAAGACTACTAGAGATTTAAATTGCCTTGCTATTTTCAGTCCTAATGATGTGAAATTGCAGGATATTAAGAGTGGTAATGTGTTCGGACAAGGTGGTACTAAAGATGATCTCTACGTGCTTGAAGACACTTCTCTTAACTCTATCTCTAATAATGTTGCTTCTTATATGATTGCGAACAATTTTAAAGCTTCGGTTGTTTTATGGCACAATAGACTTGGTCATCCTCATTCTAGAGCTTTGAATTTACTTTTACCGGGTTTCTCTTATGATTGTGCTAAATGTGAAGCATGCATTTTAGGAAAACATTGCAAAGTAGTCTTTCCCAAATCGAATACTATTTATGAAAAATGCTTTGATCTTGTGCATTCGGATGTTTGGACTTCACCTTGTGCATCTAGAGATAATCATAAATATTTTGTCACTTTTATAGATGAGAAATCAAAGTATACTTGGGTAACCTTGCTTCCATCTAAGGATAGAGTTTATGATGCATTTATAAACTTCCAAAATTATGTGACTAATCACTTTGATGCCAAGATTAAGATCCTTATAACAGAAAATGGAGGAGAGTACACAAGCACTAAGCTCAAAAAACACTTGGAAAAATGTGGAATTCTACACCAAACAAGTTGTCCATACAACCCTCAACAAAATGGTGTTGCTGAAAGGAAGAATAAACACCTAATGGAGGTGGCAAGAGCGATGTTGTTTGAGAAACACATGCCAAAGC